TCAATGAGGGTGTCAAGACTATATAACAGGGAACAAACACTTCCTTCAATAAATGATGCTGGCAAAGCTGGACTTCCACATGCAGAAGAATGACATTGGACCCTGTAATGGCTTATGTCTAGGTGTGCCCCCCAAAACTCATATGGCAATACATAGAACTACTCAGAGGTGGCTGGATCTCGAGTGTGTGACGCTGGAATTAAGGATGTGATACAAGATTAACTCAAGAGTTCAATACTAGGATTAAGTTGCCCCATCCTGGGTGTGAGTGCTATGTGCCCTAAGAGCATGCAGGTGCTCTCGTTGCTTGCTGCTTCTTCGATACTTTGCAGCCTTCGGGCCATCATCAACTGTTTTTCCTCTGTGATGCCCTTCTGCCATGGCACCCTGCTTTGGAGCCAGCCAACTATGAACTGAAACCTGTACAAACTATGAGTACAATAAACCTTTTCTCCTTTAACTTTGGGTGTTGGATATTTTCTCTCAGCAATAAGAAAAGTAACTAAGACAGATTTTAGTACCAGGAGTGGAGTAACTGCTGTGAATATATCTGACAACATGGAACTGGTTTGTGGGAAAATTCTGTAAAAGTTTTCAGATGCTGGCTGAAGAAGCAGCCCTGGAATGCTGTAAGTCAAATCTGATGGGGAATTCTTTCTTGCTGGATCTCAGAAAAGCAGAATGCTGACAGAAATACAACAGGGAAAGGCAAGGCTCAGGAAGTTTTAGTTAGGAACAAGGATTACACTGACTGCTGGACTCCAGGTCATGTCTGTTATGCTTTGGCTGAAAATTTGTTTGCCTTTGCTCATGCCCAGAGACTTTGCCTGAGATTGAGATTAAGGGCAATGTATTGATTAATCTTGTGGAAGAAATTTCAAGATGGTGTTGAGTAAGTGGTATGGCTACTGTTGGGGGCTGTTAGCCAGATCTATGCTAAGAATTAGAACAAAGAGCCCCGCAGAATGATTTAAAATACTGTGAGTTTGGTCAGAAACAAAGTTCCAGTAAAGATGCAGACTGCAAATATAGAGCAGAGAGCTTGGTTGCTAAGAAGAGGACAACAGAAAGGATGGCGTGATGACTTAAAAAAAAAAAAAACACAATATAGGACTCCATCCTTCACAGTCTCAAAATTACAAAGGTGAAAGACTTTTGAGAGGAGAGTCCCAGCATATCATGTTCCAGAATGGCAGGAGCCTAGAGAATTTGCTCCTAAGGACTGGGTTCAGAATGCTTGGCAATCCAGGCAGTCAACTCCTACAGCCAATAAAGAAGGAAGCCTAGGTACTGCTCCAGCTGGCAGCAGACCTTGGTATCACCCATGTGGTACTGGTGTTAGGTGGACACAGGATGCAAGAGTTGTGGGGTCAGGAAGGCTTCCATCCAGATTTGAGAAGAAGGTCTGGGAGGCCAGGCAGTGTGCCCTTTAGAGGCCAGTGTGTGAAGCCGAAAGTGCAATGGAGACTCCAGAAGTTTGAAGAAGCCAGGAATATGAATCATCTGAGGAAAACTGCAAGGAGAAAGCAGAGCTAGCACTAGAGAAAAACCATGGGAACTACAACCACTGGCAATGTCATAGAAGCGGAGCCACCCAAGCCCCTTGGAGGTTACATTTAGCCACAGATTACCCCAAATGCTGTACATGGAGCCACAGGACTAAATGTTTGCCCTGCTGAATTTTGGACTTGCTTTGGTCTCATTCCTTTCTATCTTCCTCTCCATACTTTTCAGAACGGAGATGTCTATCTTGTGCCACAGTATGCTGAAAGTATTTAACTTCCTTTTTCCATTTGCACAGGATATGACAGGCAAGAGTTTGTCTAAAATTTCAGAAGAGACTTTAAACTTGGACCTCCTAGCAACATTGAAACTGTGAGATGGACTAAATGCCTTATGCATAAAGGTATGTACATACATCTTTTGGGCTTATATCTAGATGTTCCCCCCAAAGCTTCATGTGGCCATAGCTGGAGCTACTCAAAGGTGGTTGAATCTATAGTGTGTGATGCTGGGATTAAGGGTGTGACTGATTCATGGTACAATGAATTCACTGGCTGGACTGATTCATGGTACAACAATAGGATTAAAGTTGCCCCATGTGGGTGTGAGTGCTACCCGCCCTAAGAGCACATAGCCTGGATAGAATATAAGGGACAGAAAAGGGCTACTGTTACCACTTGTTGCTTTTTTGCTGTTTTACTGCTATGGTGCTTTCTGCCCACCATGAACTGCTTCTCCTCTGCAATGCCCCTCTGCCACACCACCCTGCCTTAAAGCCATCCAACTATGAAATGAAACCTCTACAAACTATGAGCTACAATAAACCTCAACAACAAGAACAGTAACTATGACTCTTATGCACAAAAATGAACTCAAACGGATGAAAGACTTAACACCTGAAAATATAAAACTAGAAGAATATAGAGGGGAAAAGCTTCATGACAAAGGTATGAAGAGTGAATTTTTAGATACAGCACAAAAAGCTTAAGGAACAAAAGCGTAAGTAAGTAAATGGAACTATATTAAACTAAAAAGGCTATGGGTGACAAAGGAAACAAAGAATACTGTACAAAGGAACCTATGGAATAAGAGAATAATGGTAAGCCCTATGTCTAATATGAATATATAATACTAATAAAATACATGAGGAAACCCCACAACATCCCAATAATGAAATACATAATTCAATTTTTTAAAATGGGCAAAAGACTTCTACAGCTTTTCTCCAAAAAGGCATACAAATGCCAACAGATGGTACATGCATATAAAGATGTATAAAGTATATAGAAAGGCTACATGAAAAGATGATCAAAATCACTGATCAGCAGGGAAATGGATATCCAAACCACAATGAGATATCAATTCACACCTGTTAGATAGTATCTAAAAAAAAAAAAAAACCAGAAAAGAGCAAGTGTTAAGAATATGGAGAGCTGGGGATATAGCTCAGCAGCACAAGCGCCTGCCTGGCAAGTGCAAAGTCTTGAGTTTGATTCCCGGTACAAAAAAAAAAAAAAAAAAGAATATGGAGAAAATGAAACCCCTGTACAATGTTGGAAGGAATGTAAATAGTCATTATGAAAAAGACTGTGTAGGTTCCTCAAAAAAAGAGAACTACCAAACAATTTAACAATTCTACTTGTGAGCATCTGTCCAAAAGAACTGATAGCAAGATCTTGAAGAAATATTTACATTCCTATGTTCACTGCAGTGCGTTATTCACAATAGGCAAGAAAAAGAACCTAAAAATCCATCAGCAGATGAAGAAAATATGTGTATACACAGTCCACCAAAAACTGTACACACACATTAAGAAAAGAAAAACTAGCATTATGTTTTTTCAATAAATGGGTACTCCTCATACGGCAGACCCTAGAGGATGTTGTATATTGCAGAAAACAACGCACTGCCGCCCCTTAGAGAAGACAGTGAAGATGCATGTGCAGCCACCTCAATGACCAAGGTAATCCAAACCCCAATTTGCTGTACTAATACATCTCTGGAAGCTAATGAGGTCTGAGCACCTCTTGCTTTATAGAGGGCAAATATAACTTCTATTAAACTCATGATGCCTCAATAAATGTAGTGTCGAAGTAATTATGTATGTTTTCTGTTCCTGCAGTGAGTATACATTCTCTGGCAGACTGTACACATGACAGGGTATTACTCGGTCTCAAGAAAGGAAACACCGTCACGTGCTACCGTATGAGTTAGCCTCGATGACGTCACGCTAAGTGAAATAAGCCGGCACAGAGGGACAAGTTCTGCAAGATTCTGCCGACATGAGGTCCCTAACACGAAGCTACAGCAGAAAAGTACACTGCTGGCTACCAGAGGTTTGGGGGAGAGGTAAATGGGAAGCTGCTATGCAGCAGGTATAGGGTTTCCATTAGGAAAATGGAAAAATTCTAGAGATCTGACGGGCAACAGTGCACAGTTAACAATACTGTGCTCTACACTGAAAAGTGTAACAAGGTAGATTCTAAGAGTTTTCCACAATTTTTAAAAGAGGGGGTATGATGACTGCATGGCATGACTTACTCTATTTGCAAGTACTCCACGGTTTCTACGGAATTATCTTTACGAAACTGCAATAAGATAAAGCTTTCCAGGATGATTCTCAAATTTCCTTTCCCCCTTTTTAGAAAACAGAATTACATTTGTCCTTCTTCACTCCTGTAGTACCTTTCTTTTCATCCAAAATTTCCCAAAGACTATTTATTACAGTTTAGAAGATTCACCTGCAAATTCTTTTACTACTCTGAGAGGAGACAATCTGGAGAGGAGATTTAAAGTAACTGGTTAAAATAACATTAGAAGCAGTGGTAGTGAACCTATAGCTGTGTGCTGCGGTGGGCTGTTTCTATCACTAAAAGCTCTAAAAGGTTCACATGGATTACAGGTATAATTTTTTTTTTCCTTTTCTTTGGGGGCTAACTGAGGACTGAACCCAAATGAGCCACATCCCCAGCCGTTTTTAAATTTTTTAAACTTTGAAATGGGGTCCTACTAAGTCACTAAGTTGTCCAAGCTAGGCTCAAACTTGTAATCCTATCTCAGTCTTCCAGAGTGCTGGGATTACTGGCGTATACTATCATGCCTGGCTCTATACTCATTTTCTTATATGCTAATCATCTATCTCAATTTCCCTCTTACCAATTTATTTTTCTTTTTTGAGGTCAGGGACGAGCCTCGAACTGCTGAGCTCCAGGTGATTCTCCTACCTCAGCCTCTAAAGTAAAACTACAGGTATGGGCTACCATGCCCAGCTCACCAAAACAGTATGTATTCTCTCAGTCAGAATGTTATAAATCAGACTAAAACAAAAAATGTTGGGCAATTTCACTTTCTCTTATTTATTCACATACTCACACCAAACAATAAGCTGAGTTTTGAACAGTACAGTTAATCAAATGCATGATGATTCTGATATAAGTAGCAATGATTTATATAAATTTTTAAAATATAGCTATTAAAATTCTAATTTCACTGCTTACTTTTAAATATGCAGCTGCCTCTTGAACAGAAAGTGTTCTTTGACTAGAACTGCCACATTCATGATCTCCTAGAAAAATTAGCATATTGTTTTGAATCAGTACAATGTTAAAACAGAAGAAAAATGTAATTAATTCAAAGTGTTTTACCAATTATACAAGTTATACTATTATAATCAGTAAAGAAAATGACCAATATTGTTTATATTTTCTATAGAAAATTCCAGTAATTAATGTAAATAAACTAGTCTTATAAAAAACAATCTTTAAATGCACTTTGGTGCAGATAGAAACATATTCTCTTTTTCTGTTCTCAACTAAATTGTAAGCTTGTCTAGAAAAACCATGGCTTAGTACATAAGAGGGCTGGCCCTCTCTCAATATGTATATATATGTCAATATATTCAATATATGAATACCCTGGAGGAAATAATTCAGCAAACTTGCTGGGCTAACTTACACAATGATTCTTAAAGGTAATTTAGAGATTCAATTAAGTTTGAATTCATCATTGTACCAAAACATGTGCATTTCCATAGTATAACTAAGACTATCTTTAACAAGAAATATACACACTTGAAAAATTGTAACATAGGCCAACAGGAAAACATACGAGTTTCTACCTATGATTTGGTTTCTACAAAGGGATGTATTATAAGAGTCTGAAAAACTTGTAACTATTTTAAGAAGAGAATTCAGTTTTTTCTTTAGGCTACACATCGTTGTAAGAGATAAAATATCCTTATTTTCAACTTTTTTTTTTTTTTTGCAGTACCAGGGATCGAACTCACGACCTTGCGCTTGCCAGGCAGGCACTTATGCCACCGAGCTATATCCCCAGCCTTTATTTTCAACTTGAATAGTAAGTTTTCCTTACGAATTTTAAGATTCCCTGTTTCTTCCAAGACTTCCTACTTTTTTTTGTAAGGGAAATCGAACTCAGGACCTTGAACTTGCCAGGCAGGTATGTTTCTTTCAAGTAGTTAAAATTTTTAAACATATTAGTACAATAATTAAAGTAAAATCCTTGCAAAATTTTTCTATAATAAAAGAACCATGTTCTTATTTACCAAATAGCCAGACTTTAACGGCAATAGTTATGAGGAAAGAAGTACTTATTTGGTAAATAAACCTTCAAGTTTTATAATGCATCCTCAGAGATTTGAATTCCATATATTTGGAGGTCACCAAATCACAGCCCAAGGCCAAATCTGTCCTGTTACTTTTTTTATAAATGAAATTTAACTGGAATGCAACCAAGTTAATTCATTTATTTAGTATTTATGGTTACATTCATGCTGTAACAGCAAAACTGAGTAGCTTTGAGAGATGCTATCTAGCCTGCAAAGCTTAAAATATTTAATATGAGATGCTTCACAGAAAAAGTTTTCAAGCCCTGCTGTAGAGGAAGGAATCTGTGCCTTTAAATGGAACCCAGATTATGCTATCTAGTGGTCCACAGACATAAAACAATATTACAGAGATAACCATAGATGCATGTGTTAGCAATATCAAGATTTCCTAGCTAAAGAATATACTTAACCTATTTCTAGATACAAAAGCATACCAAATAAATGTCACTAGCTTGCAGTATATGAGCATGACAATCAGTGAGCCAATGCAAAGAAGGCATTTAGTGATGTATATAGAATTATAAGCCTGAAGTTTGAATTACAGACCCAAACTAAAGACCAAAAATAGGTGAGAGGTTGGGCAACTGTAAGGATCCTAAATACTGACGTTCCACCACAGAAATTCCACATTTATCTACTAGGCTCCTACCAATGACTTGTTTTCCTCAAAAAGGTTTGCTACATTAAAAAGCTTGAAAAACTATACTTGTATTTTCATATAACTGAAAAGGAAATCTAAAGTCTTCTTTCAGATTGTACATAAAATAAGAATACCTTTAAAACATGAGAAGTTAACAGTTATGTTTATAGTCAGCATATAGATGCTAAAATTGATATTAATTTATGTCTAACAAAATATCCTAATTGCAGATATATTCATACTGCGAGCTTTCAAAGACTTATTTAGGGCAGAATATAAGGAAAATTCAATAAATCTGGAGAGAATATTCTAAGATCATATATTTACTTTATCCAAGGGAAGACATTATACAACCACAAAAAAATCTACATTTTTCACATTTAGTCCAAGATTTCAGTTAACTCATTGCTTACTCAGTTCAAATGATATTCAAATTTTCAGGATTTTTGTTACATTGGAATACGGAAATTAGTTTGACTTAAAAAATATGTAACACAATATGCACATGACAGATAGGAAAAAGAACTTCTAATCGATACATCTATATCTACATATATCTAAAGAAACACTCAACAGGCAGTAAAAACGTGTAAAATGTTCCACAAATATAACAAAGCAGTGAGAAAGACTATTTCTACTGATAACACACTATATATATACAAATTAATTTTTAGAAACTATGTTAAAATAATTACCTGCAAGCTGTGCCAATCGATCATGAAGTTTATATAATGTGCTCATCATAAGATTCTTCTCACTTTCCTAAAATTAAAAGATTATTATGAAATACCAATTCTAAGAAAAGATGTCCCAATAATTCTTATTCAAAAATAAAAATAGAAATGAATTTAAAATCACTGAGGCTACAAAATCTAAAACGAATTCTTAAACAGTGGCCACCATATTTTAAGAAACTTAATTTAAACTTCTAAAGTGTTATTTTAAATATTTTATTTCTTGAGAATGATTAAAAAGTAGCACTAAGATTACTGCTATAAAAAAAGGTTTCATAAACAATAAACTCCCATAACTGCAAAGAATGCTTCCAATCTCCCTCTACACAATGCATTCTTGTCTGTATTGTTCTTAGAAGACTGTCTTTAAAATTTTTCTTCAAGGTTGCCCTTCATATTTTGTTTTAATCTGAATCCACCACACAAAACTGAGGCAGTGAGTATTCGCGCTGGGCACTCACCCTCTCCTAAGCTCCCAGGAAGGGCCTGTTTAACCTTGTGAACTGCTAGAGTTCTAGCTCTACACTGGAGCAGCTTAAGACTATTTTTTAAAAAAACACATTAATAAAATACTTAACAATGCTCTTGCTTTACAAAAATATTTTAGTGAACCACTAAAGTGAAGCAAACATTCAATGAAGTTAAAAAGCAGGAATTAAGAACTGTCCTGTCAGCAAAGTGAGAGACCTGCTGAGTAATATGACTTCTTTTCACAAGGACAAAATAAAATGAAGTGTTATATGACAGTTGCAAAGTGCAATGCAAATACAGAAGGAGGAGATAAAAGAAGACCCCTTTGTGGAACAGAGAATATCTGAGCTGAGTCTCACAGGTAGAAGAGAACTAACCAGCATTTTGGGCAGAAGGAACAGCATGAACAAAGGCACGAAGGCAAGAAAGCACTGCTCATAACTCATATAACTGGTGCCTCACTTAACTTAGCAAACTACTGGAAGAGTAGCTTGGAATTTTCTTCCAAAGAGCCCTCGGTAACAAGACAAAGACAAAGACTTTGTCTAGAAAATTTGAGGAGGAAAGTAAACCAGACTCGTACACATCAGGAATATTCCTCTGACCAGAATGTGTAAGATGGCCCAGAAGTATAAATAATGGTGTGAAAGGAGGGCAGAGAAAGGACTGTTATAATGGTATTTCTCTAAGCACCATGCCAAATAGCCTAAAACAGTAATATTTGTAATTTAAAATTAACTGTAAATAAAACAAAAAAAATTAACTGTAAATAAAATGGATCAATATAAGCCATGAGTAAGTTTAAATGAGAAGGGGTAGCAGCCTTCACACTATCTGAAATAAATTTCTGATTCATGAAGGGGGAGGTTGTATCATTATTATTTCCTTTTTTCCTGAAATACCAAACAAAACAATTTCTGGATGCATATGACCAAGGAACAAATTCAGGTAAGATATAAAAGGCTGGGAAAGTAACACTTATATCTCTAACAACATACTACTTCATCCATTTGATTTATGGGATATGTTCAAGAAAAGAGAAGAACAAGTTTACACACTATACACAGCATGCTTTTGTCAACGCAGCTTTGATCACTGACACTAGAAGAACAACATTCATTAAAGGTTTCAAGATCCCACCACCAGTCTCTGCTTTTAAGTCATGTGGCTGACAGAGACAAGGTATGTACTCCTTCAGGGGACTGCCTCCCTACCAACTCTTGTACCATCTTTCTCCACCTCAAATCTAGCTCAGCAAGATTTTGAATTAAGCCAATACTTATCTCCACATTATAGATTAAAATTCCAAGCTGCAAGAATCAGACACCAAAATGTGAAAGAACAGGTTGATACTCAACATGCTAAAGGCTGTGTATCTGTGATACAAAAAAAGCTACAAACCAATTTTCAATAAAAATCTTCAACATAACAGAATGAAGAGTTCCAGTGACAATGTAGCTTATGGACCTGATATAAAACCAAGGTGACTCTGATTAAACTATGCAATTACAGTAGTTGAAAGTCTGCAGTGTGCTGCTTATCTGAAAAAGACACTAATTTTTTTTTATATGTCCTGATCATGTCTTACACCCCTTTCAAAAACAAAACAATTTGAACATTTGGCATATGTCCGTATGTCCTCTGTGATTATGTTTTTAATGAAGATAGACTTGAGAATAAATTCTTGATTCGTAGATATTAACACTAGACTAGACAAACAGATGAAATAAAATCTATGCAGACAGAACTGAATCTCTCTTGCATAATATACATAGTTCACGCTACACTCTCTTTTTTGTTTTTTTTTTGGTTCTTCTCCGGTACCGGAAACCCAACTCACAACCTTGTGCTTGCCAGGCAGGTGCTTTGCCGCTGAGCTAAATCCCCAGCCCCTCATGCTACACTCTAATACAGAGAATTTAATACTCAAAAGCTCAAGGAATTTTTTCAAAAAGCTTTTCTTCTATTGAAAGCTTATTCATATTGACTGTCATATACAAGGGTCTCAAGCGCCACCCAAATGACCAACTGAATTATGATCTCAGTAAGGTTTTCCCAATGCACATTATTACCTATACAAACTCATTTTCCGAAAGAAACAGTCTGTGGTTCAGTTATCTTTTGCACCAAATACACTGAGCTAGCAGTTAATCTGAAAAATACACACATCAAGTTTTACAGTTACTTTCCTACTGGCCTGCAGTTTTACTACGTGTTTCTCCATTCTGACTGATTTTCAGACTGTCTCCCAATGTCTCAGTGTGAAATACATCTTAACCACTGGCTTCTCTAACTGCCCTACAAACCAAAGATCTATAAATAATACACATGACAAGTAGGCTTTCAAATAACATTTCATTAAATAAAAGTAATTTCATAATTTAAACTAGCTACTTGCTCAGTGTCTGTGTTAGTATGATCCAGGTTATTGTTTACACATCTTATTCACAAAGAAAATATTTTATTACTAGGATAAAAACAACTATGAGGTAACCCTACCAAATTTTCTCATATATTGTCATCTTTAAGTATTTCCCTCTTCTCTCCTCAAGCAATTTTCTCTTCCAGGACATCTTTAACTATTTATATCAAGTTTTTTATTAAATGATAATGGATTTAAACACTTAGCATGATACCTGGCACAGAGTAAGCACTTAATCTAAATGAAGTGCCGTTCCCTTCATTATAATTATTATTATTATTTGGGGATTCAGAACTCTAGCTTCTCCCATGAGAAAAGCTACAAAGAAGATAGTCTTCTATTTTCAAAGTGAGAACAGTACAGTAAATTTAAATTGATGCATTTTTAGACTCAATACTGCAACAGTCAACTTTAAATAAATGTCAACAGGGCTGGGGATTTAGCTCAGCGGCAAAGCGCCTGCCTGGCAAGCGCAAGGTCGTGAGTTCGGTTCCCGGTACCGGAGAAAAACATACATACATACATACATAAATAAATAAATAAATGTCAACACTATAATATATTACTGAACATAACTATTTCAAAGTTGCACTCAAAGTAATATTCTGTGGATTTTATTACACTTTATTACACATCCTTCGTACAACAAATAATGCTTTCTATACCGACCATTCTGTTAGTTCCTATAATAAAAAGTTAACTAATTGTGAATTACTATATATATCAAGCTTAAATATTTTAATCTTCAAAGTGTCTAATGATGATCAAGTGAAAAATATTTGTATGTAAGTAAAACTGAGGTTAAAACAAATTATTACAGCATCCTTTGAAAAGAAAGGGAATCTTAAACAGTAGCTCTAATATGCATCTTTTTAAAATCTTTTGCCTTCCTGATGGGCAAACAGTTGTCCAAGTACACAAAATATCCTAGAAGAGACAAAGTAAGGAGAAATTGGACAAACACTAATAAGGCATCCAACAACTTAGGACAAGACCCACACTTTTAAGTCTAAGATCCAGATCCACGGATAAGATACCACTTAAATTTTACTTGACATTTGGCTTTACAGTAGTGATGTAGTTCAGCTCCAAGGGGAAAATCTATGTCAGACATAATTCACACTACAGCTAAGAAATAATCAGAATAAAAAATGTATTATTTCAGACAAAAATAACCTTTAATTTTTTTTTAGTTGATAGTTTTCTGAATACATTCATAAAACATGACACAAAATATCAGTATTATGATCTTTTACTTACTTGTATTTTTCCAAATGTTTCATCAAATGGGTTTTTTACTATCAAGGAAAAGAAAAAAAAAAAAAGAAAACTATTAGTGTCACTTAAGAATAAGAACTTAAATACTCCTAAACAAGTCCTCTGCAATGTCAGAATGTACTTTGCTAAAACTAAATGTAAATATGTATACAAACTGATAATAATAAAAGCTGGGAAGTAACTTTTCAGATACTGACCAATCCTCACAAGCGTTCCGGTGTCAGGCACTGAATTCAAGCTCCAGCTGCACTACTTATTAGCATCATCTCTTTGAAGTACTATGTACCTATCCACCTATCCACCTTACGTTGTAATTTCTTCTATAAAAGAGAGGTAACAATGATACCTACCTTCTATCGTTGTCAAAATTAAATGAAATAACCCATTATTCTTATTAGCACAGTTAACGACCATATCATATTTCTGCCTAGCTTTCCAAAATACAAACTAAACACAGTTAACTATTCAACTGCAAGGTGTTTTAAAACTGAACAATTCACTTAGAAGTATGGTTTCCAATGATTAAAGAAAACCTTATTAATCCTTGCTAATACATGGAAAGGCATTAAAAAAAAAAAAAAGATCAAAGTACCTAAGAATTAGGTCTCACATTAGACAAGTCTGAAATCCAATAAAACGTTCGATTATATAATAGGGAAGGATTTGGTATGTATCATACAATCTTTTTACCCCCCACTCTCCCAAGAAACACAGACAAGTTTAAGGTTGAACAGCATAACATTTCTCATGATTTTTCAATCCTTCTCTAGCCCTATCATCTTTTAATATTATATGCAAAAATATTCAATGCTCTCAAATACCCAAAACATTTATGTATTTTATATACATTATGTACTTGTATAACCCAAGTCACAACTAAAACTAACTTGCCTTACAAAGTAGTTCACACTGACCAGGTTTCCTTTCTGAGATGCTTTTCTATTTTTACTTGAGAAAACAGGAAGCCCCATAGGAACCAGGAACTGCCTGATTCTAAGAAAGTTCATATGGGAGATCAGTTTAACCAGGTACAATAAAAAGGCAAGGAAAGAAAAACGTATCCTGTTATCATCAAAAGAGATTTGTTAACAGATTTTCAGACATTTCTTTATACAGTAAGAGTTTTAATGCTAGGGAAAAAAAATTTTTGAAAGAAAAGATAGAAAATCAAAGGTTCTCGAAAGAGTAAAGAAATAATATAACTTAATCATTAAATAAAATGTTAAAAATCAGAACACATGGACTGAAAAGGTAATTCTTAGTAATACTAATTTTTAATGCAGAAATTGAACAATCCGAAATAAAGCTATATTTTGCTTATTATACAAACCAAAAATGCCATATCAATCTACTTACAATAAACGGCCAACCAATACAAAAAATAAGTATTTTAGTTGTTGTTTATAATAAAAACAATTCTTAGAAATAACATACTGTTCTAAAACACAAACTTTAAAAGTCAGCAAGTGAAAGCCATGGTGGCATCAATTTTTAAAACCTTACATAAAATTATTTTCTGCCAGGACTATACAATAGAAAACTACCTCCTCGTGTATCTCTGATAAAGCATAACCATAAATTTTGGAATGCTCTACCACTAGAAGTTCTACTGTGAGTTTCTCACAACAGGGACCATTGTTATTTTATTCATGTTTGTATACCTGGAGCCAAGGCGCTTGAAAAATACTAGTTGTACTAGCTAGGCTAAATCTACTCTATTTTGTGTTAACATTAAAGCAAAAGTTAAATTCTACAGGAGAGTGTGTTCTGAACAATTGGGAAGGTAGACGGATAATAAAACACAAAAAGGGAAGGAAAACAGTAATTTTGTTGAAAAAACACTACTTTACCTTTTTTTAATACTAGACTTTGCCAGGCACCAAGTAGGCTAAGATATCTGGGAGCACAAAATATCCAACTGATATTCTAAACTTTTTGCTAGGAAATTTGTTCCCAATCGCCAGTGACAACTGTCACCTACTAAATTAGCACTAGTATAAGTGAAATGCAGCCATGGGGTTAAGTTTCAGAAAACTCCATCCAAAAGCAGCAACTCTTAACTAAAAGCCCTCAAATTTCTAAAAGAAGTATCTTTATACAACTAACTTTCTTTTCTCTCAAATCATCTCAGTATTTCTAAAAACAAACCCATATAACTCATGCAAATTACCTAACTTTCAATGGAAACAACACAGGTGTACTGCTACCCCTAATGAAAACATATTAACATTCTCACTGAACCAGACAAAAAATCTTACTTCAAAAGTAGTCCACAGCAAAACTCTGCAGCATCACTTATGTCTCTTTTTTAGGGAGATGTGACAGTCAATTACAGCTCTTATTGCTAACCCTAAAACAATGACAGGTCTCAAAAGGCACAATCTGAAAGCCACTTTTTAACCTGTTGTCTTTGTTTCCAACACATACCTCCAACTTCTCATTAATGCTTTTTCCCAATCTCTCCTAGTTTGGCCATCTTCAATTTTTTTGTTCAACTTACCAGTATACCAAGCTTATCTTTGTATATACCTGTATTTACCTTTGTATATACCTGTATATACCTTTGTATATACCTATTTTGGCTTCTCTTTCCTTTAAACTATCCTAAAGGCTAAAAAATCACATTCCTAAAATGTTTATTAGATGCCTGAAACATTTCCACTGGTTTTCCATCACATAATGCCTCAAGGACTAATTCTTATCTTGTGATACGTATAAGACACAGATTGATTCTGTTTCTCTAAACTGCTCTCACTAATTTAAAAAACATCAGTTTTATTGATCCTTTCTGCAAGTATAAACTTTCTTCCATTCTCTTAAGCTGAAATCCAATTTATCAGTCATTATGTGTTCCTAAAAAAAAAAAAAAAAAACCAAACTGTGAACACATCTACAGGTTGATATACTTCAAAGTATATGCTTAAATTAACCAAGCAATATGATAATCCCTCAAAAAGACTCCATTTAAGGCTAGGTGTGGAAGCACATGCCTGTAATCCCAGGAGTTGGGAGGCTGAGGCAGGAGGATCAACACAAGCCTGGGCTACATGATGAGCTTAAGGCCAGGCTAAACTACATAGCAAGACCCCATCTCAAAAAAGAAAAAAAAAAAGACTCCATTTAGGTTATTCAGTACTAATAAAGGGAAGAAAAGTCTGTACTGATCAAGTTCTTTTACAGCTCAGAAGAAGGTTAATTCCTTTAACAAATATTTATTGACTACTTTATGCTGGCCAATGGAAACCAGGCATTGCCTAGAATAAAAACAAAAACCTTTCTGCTTTCATGGAACTTATGTGCTAGAGGAGTCAAAGAAGAAAATGAACAAATTTTACAAATACACAGTAAGTGCTCTGGAAGCAAAGCAGCAGGAACAGTGTTTGGTATGTGAGCGAGAGAATTAATTTTAAGTAATAAGGTCAGAGAAAGCCCTATTAAGCATTTAATAAAGCCCTGGAGGGCAGAGGAACAAACCACATGCATACCTGTTCAAAGTTTACAGACAGAAAGAACAGTGAAGGATAGACTGTGAAGCAGCAGTATCTCTAGAACACCACTCCTGGAAACGGAAGCAGCTACTACAGCTGGTCAGGTACAGGAGAGAGCAAATCACAAGAAACGAAGTCAAACTGGTAAGATTACTTAAGGGAATCAGCAGGCAGAGATTTTATAAGGCCTTGAACACTTCTATATTTTAATCTAAGGGAGAAATCTCCCAGAACTGGGAGCAGATGTTATCTGGCTTATGCTTAGAAGGAAAGGCACATGTAATAAGAAGTGGCTCACTCTCTGAGTTAAGCTTAAGAATCTTAAGCATTTAGAGAATAAATGGCTTGCTACCCATAAACCTAGGAAAACAGGCCATAGTATATTCAGGGTCCTTTCTTCTAGCTTTGTCTGGATCAACACAGCCTGCTACGGCCTGTGGTTTTATTCTGTATATTTGGAACTAATTTAAAGTACACAAAAATATTTCCCCTGGAAGACTCTAGGCTTTCACTCTTTCAGGACTTTTTCACATCTGAACGTTTTCCTTCTTCCTCGTGCTATACTAAGGGTCCAGCTAGCAGATATGCTGCACCATGAAAGATGTCTAACTGATGTACTTTCTCATGACCCTCCTCTTCACAAAGCCCTGACTTACTCTTTAGTGTCTTTATCAGCTCCAATTATAGGTATAGTATACAATAATAATTTATTATACTATTTAACCATGTGGTCTTAGTTTCCTCCCCCAACAAGAGTATAAAAAAGCCAGGCATGGTGGCGCACACTTGTAATCATACTTGTAATCACTCTTATAAGGCAGGAGGATCGTTTTGAGTTCGAGGCCAGCCTGGGCTACATAAGTGAGTTCAAGGTCAGTCTGAACCGCACTGAGAGCCCGTCTCAAAAAGAACTCCCCCCTCAAAAAAGGGTATAAAAAAATCTCTTCTTATTCAGTGCCTTGCAGATATTTGGTGCTAAATACAAGCTTTACAAATAAAAGTTTGAAGGCATACTGTATTTCCTACAGTAATAGCTATGCCATTGCCAAAAAAGTACTACAGTCCTAAGCACTGCACAACTCTCTCCTCTGACTAAAAAGAAACTTGCATTTACCAAGTATGTTCCAGCAGTGATAATGCTGTCATGCACTCAAGAAGTACATCAACTCATTCTTACAACACTGTTGTTTTAGAGCAGGTATCATACCATTTTTGTAGACAGACAATGAGACATGATAAGGTTAGGTCATTTCCTTGAGATAAACACAGTTTAGTAAGCTGGGATCCAAAGATGAGATTTGAGCATATCTATGTCTGACTACAAAGACTACATTCTTCTCATTATAGAAGTAACAATAATAGAAAATATTTGCTCTATTTGCTTTAAGGAAGGTACTTTTTTCTGCAGAATTTTCAAATTTTGAATTATTAAACTTTAATTTCCTTATGATACAATAAATCAAACATGACAAAAATACAGATAAACGGAAAACACTTTGCTGAAAAATATACCTAGACGAGGAAAAACTTCT